ATATCCCATAGAAACTTATGTGGTATAATTATATACTAAACATAGATATAAATCCATATATATAGTGTTTCCTAAAAAGAAAGTATTTTTTTTAAAATCGAATTTTATGTTCATTTGCTTAGAACATTGAAAAGCAAAGCAAGTTTATTACGTATAACAAATGTTTTTTTTTATCAAATCGATGCTGGGAACTTCTTAACTTACTAATTCCACCATTCCTTAGACAATATTTCTGTACAAATTAAATAATTTTACACCCAATTGTTGACTTATGAATGAAATGCCTATAAGTTTTGAATGAAGCCCGATCTTTCAAAAGAAACTGCACAGCCAATTTGCAGTCTCTTGTTCTTTTAATTACCCAAAGAGAACTGTTCACACAAGCAAACTATTGCCACGAACAAAGAAGAACACGAAGCCAGACTTAAATGTCTCGCAAACATAACCAAAAAACGTACACACCCTTTTAACCTTTTCGGACGCACAGGTTGCCCACAAAAGGTGCTAAAAGTAGAAGTTGCCGATGGTAAATAAACGAACTAACAGTGGTTTGTGTTGTCGTAATAACTTGTTTGCCCAAACTAATTGCCACTGCTGCTGGCGGGGCCAGACACAGTCGATCAGACATGGATCAAGGCAAAACGTAACTCTAAAGCTGTTTAAGGTTCTGCCTTCGCCGGCGAGTCTCCATCTAATGAGTTGGGGTTTTCGTTTGGTAAATTAGTGGCAATTAAAGTGTTACAAGGTGTTTGACTTGAAAGAAAGTTAAGATCCGACCCGGTGTGGTCTTCCATTGCTGCCGGCAAGCTTGTCTACACAAAATGTTTTTGATATAACTTGTTTATTATTTGCGGCTGCTGTTGGCAAAAAAAAAAAAACCAAGAGCTGTGCATCTGATAAACGAAACGTGCTCTCAACTACACTGATAAATGTGATAACTGTGTATGAAAGTTGAATAATTATCAAAGAGTGTCTTCAGTGCACTAGAAAGAATAGAATACTGAGCTAGATGTGAACATTACCCGTAGAGTGTTCCTCATGAGTCTGCCAATGTGTTATTATTTGTTTCAGAAAAGCGAAGATTGTGATTAGAAGAAGAATATTCTATTAAACACTACTAAAAACATGGAATACATTTGAAAATCAACAACTAAAGATTATGAATGATGTTTGAAACATAGTCTCCACTACACTGATGGATTATTTTGGTTTTATGAAGAATTGGGTCCACAATTGTTAACTTTCAGATTGTTAACCTTCACAATTAGGCAGTTGATGGGAAATATGTATGCTAAAGAGATCGGTATAAATCATTATTCTCCAACCATTATCAATCAAAGAATCCCAGTAAATACACGAAAAAATTATAAATATTATAAACTCAAAATATCGAATCTACTATGAACATAATTAGCACATATTGCAAGGCATTTTTAATTTGTTTAAACTATGAATTATTTGCCAAAGGTCAGAGAGTAGAACTACGAATACTAGTAGATCCAAATGCAGCTGCATCTTATGCTTACTTATTAACTTAATAAAATAGACCTTCATTTTATTTCTTATACATAATCGTTCAACGAAGGAATTTAACTTGGTCAAGAACATTTATGGAACTTCGATTAGCCTTGCTTTCTCAGCAAAATTCTACATTATTTTTCAGTCTACAGCATTTGTTGATATTAATGGCACACTTAGTGATATCAATCGAAACTAACGTTCATTAGCGAGCTTCAGAAGATGAAAACAAATTCCATTAAATGCTGTGGGAATGATACAATCATTGATTTGAAATTAATTAAAATATCTTTAAATACAATATTCCATCTGCACAAACTTCTATTTTAGGTTTGTGCCCTTTTAGAAGTTGGCTTCCAGCCCATATACATTTCCATTTCCATTAATTAACCATAAGAGAGCCAACTAATTGCCCATACATACACAAATACATACAGATATATACAAGTATGTATATGGATATCAAGTTGCATTCTTCTCGTCTCAGAAAGTTGCACAGACGCTGCTGCACCATATAAAGATCTACATTCTTGTGTTCTTTTAAGCTCTTTTTAATGCGCTGCCTGAGGCCCAAACAAGGCATTTTAATAAATCATAGCATCACTATGATGCATATGTAATAAAAATAAAAAAAAAGGAGGCTGGAGAATGTTGTTGCTAATACCCAACGCGATGCTGACAATTCTGGCCAAAAGTCATGACTCAGATGCATCCGCGGCTTAGGGCCCGAGGCAAGAGCTAATCGATGCCACCCGTGAGAATCGCGCACCACACCCAGAACAAAAGATGTCGAGACAGCACACACGCTTTCCAATTAACGTGGCTTATCTACACAAACCCATAGATTATAGCCCCAACCTGTATTTTGACAACTGGCCCAATGATTGAACAATTAGCAGACAACACCGATGCACCACACGCAGCCACAGACCGGGCAACTGGAATTCTTGACCATCGTGTGCAGCAAATGAAGAAACAAAAGCTAAAAAGATCTAAAGATCGAGCGACCCTCATCAATTACAACTATAGAGCCTAGCTATGAAAAAAAAAAACAAAAAACACAAGACACAGAGACACAAAAGAAAGTGAAAAATAGAGTTGCTAGCCTGAGCGGTTTTCGTTATTTTTTTAACACTTCTCCAGACCTCATCGCCATGGGATACTCCTCGATCGCAGTTGCAGTTTACACTTTCCCAAGCGACACGCACACGCAATCGAAGAAAAACCTCTAATCAAAGCTGGCGATGCGATACGAGACGATGCATAACTTAGAGTGGAGGTCATCATTAAAACGTCCGCGACCGGCCCAAAGAAGCTGATTCGAGCTGGAGCTGGAGCTGGAGTTGAGGCTAGCGTGTGTGGGTTGGTTTTTTGTTTGGAAAGCGGCTCTGTGTCGAGCAAGGGCTGGCATCCATCAGAGACCACCAATTCCAAATTCAAGATGAATGGCATACGGAAACGCATGCCACCACACAAAATGTACTCTACACACAGAAATGAAAGAAGCTAACTGTTGCTTATTAAGTGAAAATGAAAGCGTTTGCCGAAAAAGTAGAAATACTCGTAAAACTAAATAAAACTAAATAAAACTAAATAAAACATCTAAAGCGCAGCACCACCAACCACAATAGCAACAACAACAGCAACAACAACAGCAACAGGTCATTCATACCGGTTTTCCGGGGTCCGCTCATTTTCATAGCAAACGGCACTAGACATTTTTTGAATGCCTGCCTGTCCCATGAAATTTTCACTTTGCCATCGTCGTCTGTCCACATTTCTTCTATGTCTCCCCATAATTTGTACTAACCTCGGCCAACGACGCTTCCGCAACATGGGCTAAAGAATTCTAAAGAAGCTTTCACGAACTACTAACAGCCGGCGTTACGATATTATCTCCCACATGATATAATATGTAATATCAATATCAACAATATATAATAATATCAATTAAAAAAAGAAAACTCTTTACTGACTGCATGTAATGTATATTGTTTATTAGCATGATGCTATCAATTGCATTTCCAAAGTTCACAAAGAATGCTTAATTGCAGTTACTTATGGATAAGTTTAATTCGGAGGAACTTCTTTGATTCTTTGGCGGTTTTAAGAGACTAGGACTAGTATGTACATTTATGTATGATTAAACTATTGTGTTTATTTTTGTTTTTTATTGAACATAATATGTTGATGATTTTAAGGTATTTACTTATTTATTTATCAATTATTTCATTAATTAATTCATTCATTTATCTATTAATTAATTTATTTATTAATGTATTAATTTATTTATTTATTAATTTATCTATTTATTTATTTATTTATTTATTTATCTATTTTTTATTTATCTATTTATTTATTTATCTATTTTTTATTTATCTATTTATTTATTTATCTATTTATTTATTTATCTATTTATTTATTTATCTATATATTTATTTATCTATTAATTAATTAATTTATTTATTTATCTATATATTTATTTATCTATTAATTTATTTATTTATTTATCTATTTATTTATTTATGTATTTATTTATTTATTTATATTTATGTCAACAAACATTGAATGTCGACAATGGATAACAATATGCATATAAAAAGTATAAAAAGAATCTTATAAGCTAGGAAAGCCTAAGTAGGAATGTTATGAAGCAAGGTATAGACTTGTTTTATAAATAAACTAATTTTCACTTTCTTTGCTCTACATTAATTTTCTTCTATCAAATATTCTTAAATATATTTGTCTAGATTTTCCGTTTTTAGCACATAAATTGCATATTCCTTAATTAAATATTCCCTAAGTACGAGTAAAACGATTATCAATTATATTAATTTTCGAAAATTGCCTAAATACGAGGAAAACGATTCTCAATTATGTATATACATTTTTTTTTAAATCTCTCTGTAGCCATCTCAGGCTTCTAGCCCATGTAATTCCGATATATTCCATTAAAATGGAATCAAAAACATGGCTTAATATTTGTACATTTATGTTTTACAACAATATTTTAAAAATTTTAGGCTAACTTCAGCAAGTTTCTTGAGGGTGAAGCACAAAACATCAAATACGTTATATGCTTCAAATATAGTATAAAGCAATACGTAGACCTATTACCTATTCGGCCATTTAGGGTACTATTTACTAATATTATTTTAAAGTTAAGCAATGCCTATGTAAAAGGTATAAATCATTCCTTCTATAGTTCTACCATCAAACAATTTCTTTTCCAAATAATATTCATTTGAGTCTTAATATAAAACTGGAATAATTGTGGAAACAAATTCACATAGAATTTAATTACTTCTTCACTTCAGGCCCCAAAAATAATAATAATATAATAATAATAATGAAAATAAATAGAGTATGCATATGCACATATACGTATATACACATAAAATGTTTAAAAAATAGAACAATCTTGATTATTAATAAATTAAATAATTGCGATTTCGAAATCGTATAATGCTTTTGGGACTCACCTCGTCCGATACCGCTGCTGTCGCCACTGCTGCTGGCGCTGTCGTCGTGTTGCTTCAGCTCCTGCACCTTGTTTCTCTTTCCCTGCTCCTCTTTGGAGTTGGGGCTGGCGCCGTTAGAGAAGTGGACGCTGCCATCGCGATGCACGAGGAGCTCAAAATGTTCCGGCAGCTCAAAGTCGCCGCTGTCCGCTCGGGTGGCCACCTTGTAGTAGAGGCTGGTGAATTGATAGATGAGCGCCCAGGCCTGATCCTCGGATAGGGGCGCCTTGAAGGAGTCGACAATGTTCTTGATGGTTACACACTGTTCAGCACAGGCGCATTGATAGAAGACTTCCTGCACTCGTTCGCTGTTCAATTGTAGGCAGTTGATGTTGTTGTTGTTGTTGCTGTTACTCGTGCCGTTGCAGTTATTGTTGTTGTTGTGATGGTGGTGGTGGTTGCCGTTGCCGAGCAACATTTGCTCGGCAGCTGGGGCCTGATGTTGAACATCGCCATTGGCGCTGTCGGGTGAAGTGGAGAGAAAGCCCTCCTCCCCGCTGTCCACCACTGACGTCGTCTGCTGCTGACGTTTGCTATTGACCTTGGGCGTAGCCATGGCCTTGGTTGCAACACCCACTCCCACTCCTACTCCTACTCCTACTCCCAGTCCGCCGCCTGCGTCATGCGGCTTTTTGCTGCTCGCCACCAGCTTGTCATCATTCAGACTATCTGTGTGATGCTCCGTCATATTGTTGTTGGTTTAGTTGTTTTTGTTGCTGCTGTTGCTGTTGTTGCTACTTCTGTTGCACTTGGCAGCACACGAGCTGGTGATTGCGTTTCCTCATATATGTATGTATAAAACTACTCAAAATTTGTACGCGAATTTTGTTTAATGTCTTCAATTATTGCCGTTTCTCTTGCTGTTGTTGTTGTTGTTGTTATGGTTTTTAATACGTTTGTAGTTGTTGTTTTTATTGTTGTTGGGCGGCGGTCAGGCGAAGAAAACGATTCAAAAACATGTAGCAAACAAATTGATTTTTACATAAATACAATGAAACGGAATATTTAAATATTGTTGTCGTAATGTTATTTACTTTAACACTAAACACAAAACATTGAAGATTTGATTTGAACTTTTGAACATATGTATTTGATTTCCTTTTTTTTAATTACTGCTGCCACTCAGTAGACACGTTTTGCACGTTTTTTTTTCTTTTTTGATTTTATGCACTTGCCGTTATGTTTTCGTGTTGCTGTGGAACTTGTTATTGCTATTCTTTATGCATTTATTATTTTTATTCATTTGCTTTTTGCACTTCACAACACTCGAGGAGGTGCGCTTCGTGATTTGATTGAATTATCACGTGGCTGTTAAATAAATTCACGCGCTTCCTATCTAATTAGACAATATTTTGCTAGAACTCGAGTTTAAATTAAACGCTAGTTCTTCACATTACTCGCTTTTATTTGTGCTTGTCTTTTATTTTGAAGCAAGGCCGTTCGCGCAACTTGCCGCTTAGACGTCAAACTGTTGACTGAGGAGTGAGCGCTTGGAAAATCGAATCGAATCGTGCGCGCAGCACACGTTAGACTGAACGAAACTTGACGAAAGCAGAGCCGCAACCGCTGGTCGCTCAGCTGTTCGGCTTTGCGCTCTCCCTCTCTCTCAGTTCGCGTCTTTATGGTGGCTCTTTGCTTTTTTATTTTGATTCCGGTTTTTCGTTGTGTTTGTGATAAACATTTTGTGCTTTTATTTAAAACTTTAACTGTTAATATATTGTTGTTGCTGCGATTGCCGAATAATTTTGTGCACTATGCGTATGTAAAATGACCAGGGCTGGATAAAATACTGCAAATAATAAATTTAATTTATGAATGAAAACGTTTTACAGAGGACTAAGAACTGCTTATTTATTTAAAAGTCAACAAATAGAAGAAAACAACAAATAGCTGTTAATATCGATAGCTGAAAAGTGCCGAAAAGTAGGAAACAGCTATGGTTTCAAAATTATAATTCGGTTGCCTCATTTTTTAATACTTTTTCTTAAGTTTCTTTTTTTTTTGTTGTTTTTATTTTTTGAGGAGTAAGCGATTAATAGAGAAGAAATAACTTTATTTAATTGAGTTTAAGCAATGAATTGATATTCATATAATTATATAGAACAATTTTTAAACATTTTTTATTTCACTCCAAAAGGATTTATTTAAAGTTTAAACTACGCCAAAAGTTCTTGAATATCAAATGTTTGGATAGGAATCAATAATATTGCAATTTCGAATAAAAATTCTCAATAATAAATACTTACAACAACCTAATTTAAGATCAACTTTCTAAATTTGTTTGAATAGGCACAAGTTTTTGATCAAACTACGCCAAAAGTTCTTGAATAACAATTCAGTTAATAGGAGTCGAAAATATTGAAATTTAGAATAAAAATTTTCAATAATAAATACTTACAACAACCTTATTTAAGATTTACTTTCTAAATTTATTAGAAAAGGCACATGTTTTTGAACAAATGAAATGTTTGACGGAAATTTTTGTTAATGTATAAAATTTTTTTTACCACTAAGTACTGGCAGTCTTATTTGTACATACTATGAATAATTTCATTCAACATTGTACGCCAGCCCTGGCGTTGGCAAAAACTCAAGTACCGTGTTTTATTTGTTTATGTGAAGATTTTATATGCGTGCTGAACTTCAACTTTAGTCTCTGATCGTACATATAGTACATCCATACATACACATGTAAATATGTTTTTGTTAGTGTTTGGGGCTATTATGTTAAGGTCAAGACGAAGTGGCGGCAGTCGCGTCAAGTGAGTTGGCCATCTGCCGCTGCTGCTGGTCAGAAGCACAGCAAAAAGCCATTGATATCACTTCTGGGTCTATCTGGGTCTACCTGGGTCTGGTGCACGGCCATAAAGCTGCGGCCACTGTTCAACCCACTGACGATAGGCAGGGTACTTAAATGTGAACACCACCTGGGCTCGACGGAAATTGTTTGTCATAAAATCTCGCGGTAATTAGATCTGTAGTAATGGACTTCTAAGTATATAGTATAGCAACTAAAGCCTTGCTATGTATTACATATGTATGTATATACTTGTACATGGGTACTACATTAAAATTAAATTTAATAGTACTAGGTTAGCTTTAAATTAAATGGGCATAAGAATTAAACATTAGTTCGGAGTCTCTTTGCACAAATTAGTGATAAATACTTAGTACTAGGGTGAGTGACACGACTAAAGTAGTCGAAGGGGAAGCTATCTTATGTTATGACAAAATTGAAAAGAAATGTAAAATATTCTAAAATGTGCAAATACCGTTTTCAAAATAATGCGAACTAGCCAAATAAAATCTATTTAGTTAAATGAGATTCAGTAGAACATACATACGTTCTATTATATAAGACACTTTGTCATCGACTATTTGAAAAACATTTTGACTTGCTTAAGAGCTATTAAGTCGATATAGAATTAAAGTCAGCTTAACATAACCTTACACTTTTAAGTAAGCCCGAATTTTTTTGCTAACAAGTCAGAGCTCAATTTTTGATTTTCAGTTTACTTTTGCGAAACAAAGCAAGAACATAACTTTTCCAATTCCATTCGATTAAAAGGCGATAAATAGTTGATTTGCAGATTTATTTTTCATTTTCATTAGTATCATGGAAATTAAAATTGACTGTTTTTTGACTGGCTGGCCAACATTTGAAAAAAGCCACGATTCTGTCTTATAAATATTAAAATTGCAATAAATGCTAAAACTAATTATAAATAAAAGAAGATTCATTGCTAAATTTATAAAAATCTTGTCCGTGATGAGATTATAGTATATTTAAAAATATTTTAGTAGTTAATGCACATTTAATTAATTTGTATATTTCTTTAAAAAAACTATCATTTCCACAATTTTTTTTTTTAATGAACTATAAATTTTCTATTAAATTAAACTATTAATTAACAATCAATTAAGAATTATTTCTTTATGTTGAATGCTATAAAATTTTTAAGTAAGCGATGTAGCTCTTTAAATAACAGGTTGCAGGAAATAAACTTTTGGAATTCATAAATAAATTTAGTTTCTTATGCAGCTTAGAGTTTAAAGCAATGCCCATAATTGCTATTAATAGCTTACTTGTATAAAATGTAATTTTAATTTAATTTAATTTGATTTGTAATCTATATTCTAGCGTTACAAGCAATTGGTTACTTTTAAGTTAGTCACAATTATATTAGAGTGTAACAATCTAATTCGTTATTGTTTGCAAATATCATTTTTAAAATACTTATTATATAATTCTAAGTACATTTCAAAGATATTGCACAATTGTAAAATGCATTAGTTGGCATATTTTAGCCAGAAAAAGCATTCTATTGCTTAACATTGGCTGGCTAATCCTTGACCTTAGACTTTCTTGTCTATTTCTTTAATGGCTCTTTCATGCTTTGAAGTCGATTATTGCATAAAGTTGTTAAGCTTCATTCAATTAACGAGCATGGCCATAAAATTTCACCATTTCAAGGTCCTGCCCGACAACGACTTCGACATTCAAACCCAGCCAGAGACAGACGGCACGCAACGAGCCATTCAAAAGGAGGGACAGACAGAGGCTGGCCAAAAGTTTTACGAGTTATTAAGCCATAAGTACATGTGTGCACCCGCTGACCAAGTTATGATATATGAGCCGTAAATTGAAACTTTATATCAATGGGATTGTTGCGGCTGCTGTTGTGAATGTTGCAGTAGTCTAAAGATTTGCATGCGATATTACAGCATCTTGGCAGATGTAACTTTTAATGAGTTTTTGTGCGTTAAAAAATTTCACCGTACGCGCTTTATTAATTGGCCACAATTGCAGAAATTCCGCCGCCGATGAGAGACCCGTCGTCTACCCACGTAATCAACACCAATAGCCATAAAAAGTGTGTCCTCAGCTAGCCAGGCAGCCAGCCAGGCAACCAGCCAGGCAGGCAGCTGCGACTGATGTCATCAGAAGCCGCAGAAACTTCAGACACTTGGCCAGATGTTGTTGTCGCCAATGTTTAATGGTGGTTGTCGTTGTTGTTGTCGTTGTTAAGTGTGTAGCAATTGTTGAGGCAATCGCTAATGAATTAATTAACGCATAAATTGTTTTATTTAGTGTTTATTTTCTATACACAAAATATTTGCCAACAAATTTCAGTCCAATTAGCCAAGCGACGAACTCTAAACAAGCAGCTTTGCTCACAGCTCGAGTCTCGCAACTCGAAGCATGAATCATTCACAAATCGCAGACAGAGGCAGCAGCGGGTGTTGTTGTGGAGTGCAACCAAGCGTTGCATATTTGTTGAGTTGCATGTGTCGCACAGGCCGCTTGGCACTTGGCCCGTTTCGCTTTTGGACTTTAACTTGCTTTGAATCACGCCCCCGGTTCTATTCATCAATGAATGGATGCCAGCAATGGGTTGTCCAGAAAGTAATGTTTGTTCTGAAACAAATTAATCAAATCAGGGTGAACTTCAACTAAAATGTTGAACGAAGCAGTAGTTTCGTATATAATTTAGTTTTTATGCACTCATCCATGCGTGCATTTTTGGGGACATTATACAAGTATGCTATATAAGCTATTGTCTGGGCCATGTACTTGTATGCACTCTATTTTCCATTAATCTGAGTCCTATTTTATTTATTTCCAATTAAAATAAATCCAATATTTGGTCAAACCTTTGGGAAACTGAGATAAAGTGTGTTAACTTTAAATATATATCGAATTAAATGAGAAAGCTATAAATTTGAAACAATTTGCAGTACCTTTTAGCGACAAAATTCTGGATTTTTTGAAATAAATAAAATAGTTAATTAAATTTTAAATAGTGTTAGAGACCTTTTTACATATCAAACATACTACGTGTACATAGATACTGGGCCAGAAATGTAAGCCCATTACACAATGGAACTTATTCCTTACCTGTATTCATTATTGTGTATTCTTAATTGTTCAAATGATTAATATTTATATCAGAGTTTAAAAGAAAACGTTCTTGGGAAATCAAATTGCTTTACAAATTGCTACATTAAGAAACTAAATTGCCGATTTCGGATATAAAACGACTTATGTTCCATTTACGAAAGCTTTCTTCTTCAAATATTGCCAAAAAATATATTTCCTTAAAAAACCATATTCTCTAAAAACTGATCTTATTTTCTCAGAATAAGGTATTCTTAGCATAGGGAAAAAATATTCTTAAAAATATACATTTTTACATCAAACTAATAACTTTTGTTAAATATATTATAAATAAAGAAACGCATTTTCATTTCTAAAAGCAGGACACATTCGTAAAATTAATTTAAAAACAAGAAAGTCTCTAAATTGTTCAAATTAGGAAACAAATATTTTTGGAATTCATTTTTAAAAAAAAGTTGTTAAGAAATTCTTCAATCTTTTATCATATTTCAATTGAAATGATTAATTATTTAAAATAAAAAGTTTATACAAATAATAAGCAATCATAGCTCTTCAT